GGGGGGGGGGGGGTGGGGGGGGTGAGAGGGAGGCTTGGAGGAGGCTGGGGGCCTTGGGAAGGGAAATTCCGGCTGACTCAGTGTTCCCCTAGCCTCTGGCCTCCTCGGGATGTTAGTCAGAAAAAGGTCTTTCTAATCAGTCTGGGAATCCCTGGATTTTTGGGTGTCTGTTTGTAATTAGCTGACATTGGCTGAACATGTCACTGAGCACTAGGTACTAGGGCAAGGGGTTAGCACATGGGCTGCAGTAACTCCCCAGGGTCCCCGGCTCCTAAAGTATTGCGCTGGGGCCTGAACCTTCTGTCATCATCTGTACTGTGGGCGCTGGGAATCCAAGACGGATGCAGCACGTGGCCTAGCCCAAGGCCTGCAGGCAACCTCATGGAGCATTCTAAGGGCTGCAGAAAACCCTGACCTGGATGGAGGGCTTTTAGGGGTGGGGCAGCTCCAGAGGTAGTCAGCACAGGGGTCAGCAGGAAGGGAGGGCTGCCCACAGTGCAGCCCCATCTCGGAGTCAGAGGACTCCGTTCTGCACCTGGAAGGCCCTACCTGCCTAATGGGATGGCTTCCAGGCTTGGAGGGAGCCTGGGAACCAGGGACAGTCAGCAGGAGGGCAAATGAGAAGCTAGGGGACCAGCCAGCCTCGACCAGGGGTCCTACACCCACCCACAGAGGGTGTGGGGTGGAGGGAGCGATTTCTGGCTAGAGGCAGAGAACAGGGAAAAGGAAGAAGATACCAGCATGGTTGTTCCAAGCCCTGGACCTCGGGTCCATCTGTGAACTCAGAGTCTGATTTCAGGGCGGGAGAGAAGGCGAAGGCCTGTCAGGAGAGTGCAGAAGCCCTGCGCGGTCACCACCTGAGGGTCAAAGACTCTCCCGGTCTGCGCTGTCAGCGCTCCTGGGAGCCGAGCTGAGCCGAGCTGAGCATCCGCTCTCAGCAACCGGGTGGCGGGAGCACAGCTCCTGCTGGGCCCGCAGACACACGCTAGCCCATGCGACAAGCCTCGGCCTCCTCATCTGCAGAGCAGCAGCGTCCTCCCACGGGCAGCTGTGGGACAGCTAAGGGGCGCTGGCTCCCGAGGCGAGGACACAGATGGTCTGCAGAAAGCCGGGCACAAGGCCGGCTGGGCGTCGGTCCCCAAACCCAAGTTTAAGGAACGCTTCCCTGCTGACGCGACTCGCGTGGGGGAAACCAAGGCGCAGAAGTTACGGCCAGTTCGCAGCCGCGTGGTGACAGTGGCAGGGAGAGCCCTGGCCAGGACCCTGAGCCCCAGGCTGGGGCCTCCACCTGAGCCTGCCCCCCGGGGACTCGCTCTGGGAAACCTCTGCTCCGGCTTGTGCCTGTGCAGGCGTGGGCGGCAGCCTGGGAGCCAAGGGCGCCCGCTCCACCGGGCCCCGGGTGCCCTTTGGAATGCCCTTTATCAGTCACATAGCACTCAAGAATGAATGTTGTCCCCACAGATCACCCTTCTCTGCTGACATACGAGAACGTTTATCTTTAAAGTCCCTCAGATTAGCACAACGGGGAAGTGTACCCTGAGACCCCCACGGAAGCCTCTTCTCTTTCCCGGAGTAATTCTCAGGGGTCTCTCGCAGAGCCTGGCCTCTATCCTGACTGCTCTGGGCCTGCACAGCCCCTACGTTATCTTTCCAGACAGTATTTCCTGCACACGTAAGGGACCATGGGGAAAAGGGGAAGAAGCCAGGAGGAGCCTGGCAGATATGATGGGAAATGGATGTAAATCTAATTAACAACTCTAATGCACAGGCAACCTCCAAAAGAACCTTCTGTTTCCAGGGAACGAGATCGGCAGACCACAGAAGCACACGCTGCTTGTCCAGGACCCGTGTTTTCTGCTGGCCCTATCTCACTGAGAGGGAAACACCTGCTCTCCATGCTGTCAGCAAAGGGGGCAGACGGGCGAGCTGGCCGGGGAGCCTGGAACGACTGCCCTCCCCTGACTTCCTCTGCTGGACAGGGCAACACGGGACCTTTGCGATGACTGGTGGGCGGGGCCTCCAAGCAGAAGGCCACTCCTTCCCCGCCCAGCTAGCGGCCACCTCCCTTGAAGATCACGGCCAACAGAGCGGAGAGGTGCTGCGTGATGGTCTCTCTCCGGCTGATAAAACGCCGACACCATGGGGCGCCTGGGTGGCTCAGTTGGTTAAGCGACTGCCTTCGGCTCAGGTCATGATCCTGGAGTCCCGGGATCGAGTCCCGCGTCGGGCTCCCTGCTCGGCGGGGAGTCTGCTTCTCCCTCTGACCCTCCCCCCTCTCATGTGCGCTCTATCTCTCTCTCTCTCTCTCTCTCATTCTCTCTCTCAAGTGGATAAATAAAATCTTTAAAAAAAAAAACAAAAACGCCGACACCCAACGCTGCAGAGCAAATCCCAACTTGGTACCTTTTAGAAAGCCCTCCCCCAATCAGAGCAATGCCCTCATGTTTGAGCCCACTCCCCCTTCCTGCCCACGATAGGGTGGGGGAGGCCTTGTGCCGCCCCAGGACAGAAAGGGGCCGGTCTCACACCCGGAGGGGGGCAGAGGCAACCAGGGGTGGGCCTGGCGTCTCTTGCTGGCCTCCTCCTCCAGTATCTGCCACCTGCATGGACAACCTGAAGGCCGGGACTGCCTCGCGCGCCACATCCCCCACTGGCCCAGCCAAAGTGCACCCTGTGTGCCGATCCCCCGCCTGGACGGCCCAGGGAGGCGCCGCGGGGGTGCCCGTCCCAGAGGGCGCAGGTCTGGACATCACTGCCCACCTTTTTGCCAACCAGGGAAGGAGGAGGCAGCGGGGTGGGGGGTGGGGGGGTACATCCCAGCAGACAGGACCAGGGTGCCCAAAGCAGCAAGACCTATACTCCCAACCCGTCAGCCCACTAGCCTCTCCAGACCCAGGCTGACGTGTCAAAGACATGCCTCCCAGCGGGGGAATTCCACGGCACTGGTGGAAAACAGTGGTTACAGGGGTCACAAGGACCCTACGCCCCTTTCCCTCAAATGCCGTAACCCCCAGCTCTGAAGGCCACAGTGAGCACAGCCTGCTGAGGTGGTGAGGCCTCTTCTGGTGAGCTACTGTCCCTATCCAAACACGTGTACACATCAACTGACCCCTGGGCTGGGAGCACTGTGCGCACCCCAGAGGTGGCCTAGTTCTCTAGCCCACGGCCCCAGTCAGAAGCAGCCCCTCTGCCTGCTCTTCCAGATCATTACGAAGATAACACTGCGGAGCCTCGAAGGAAGTCCCTCTAGGATAACTCAGGCCTGGAAGTCAACGGAGAATAAATCCCCCCTTGTGGGTCTTCTTAATGCTTACCAGACTTTTTTTTTTTTTTAAGGTTTTATTTATTTATTTGACAGAGAGAGACACGGCGAGAGAGGGAACACAAGCAGGGGGAGTGGGAGAGGGAGAAGCAGGCTTCCCGCGGAGCAGGGAGCCCGAAGCAGGGCTCGATCCCAGGACCCTGGGACTATGACCCGAGCCGAAGGCAGACGCTTAACGACTGAGCCACCCATTTACCAGACATTTTCTTAAAACCAGCTTGGAACAACAAGAGCAGTAAGGAAAAACAACCTCACCTTTTTATTTTTAAAGTTTTTTTTTTTAAAGATTTTATTTATTTATTTGAGAGAGTGAGCGAGAGAGCGAACGAGAGCACGAGCGGGGGTGGGGAAGAGAGGGAGAAGCTAAAGGCAGACGCTTAACCGCAGGTGCCCCTTCTTTTTTATTTAAGTAATCTCTATACCCAACGTGGGACTCGAACTCACAACCCTGAGAGCAAGAGTCGCATGCCCCTCCAACTGAGCCAGCCAGGCGCCCCTAGCCCTCGCCTTTTTAGAAGGGGTCCCAAAGCTGCTCCCCTGAACTCCTAGGATTGTCTTTATCCTTAGGGTGCAGAGCCTAAGAGCTTAAACCAGACTGAGAGATAGAGCAGTTTCAGGATGCTCTGATGCAAGCCCTTGCTGGCAGGGGCCCAGAGCCCGGAAAAAAAAAGAGAAGCAAGGTTTCTCAGCACCAAGAACGGGGCCCCCGCCCCCTCGGAGCCACAGCAGACATAAACATCCCCCAAATACCAGGTCGCTGGCTTCAAATGCAAAGCTGACCAATGCTGGGCAGCCCAGAGGGAAAGGGGCACGGGAAAGATTTGTAAGTTAATGATACACAAATCCGGCCCCTTCTCAACCCCTGTCTGAGTGCTATCCTATTTCATTTTCACATCTGCAGCTGCAGGCTCCCCTCCTGGCCTGCCCTCATGCTCCTGCCAGGAAGCATTCAGGCCCCAAAGCTCCCCGCCCCTCCACAAAATGGAACAGCAGCAGAAATATAACCCAGTTCAGGCTCATCCTGAACCAGATCTTCAGAGTCCAGACAGCAGTTGACACAACCAGGGGCCTGGAGTACCAACACTCGGCACGAAAACCTTCCAGGCCCCGGGAAGGCTGCTGATTACCAGCCCCGAAGCAAACTGAAACACTTTTCCAGGAGCCCCTAAACATTTAACAAATTCCTGCAGCTCCTCCTTCCGGCTGGCTTGTTCGGGTCCAGTGTTCCCTCACAGACCTGCTGGGCTTGCCAGGAATTCCGACGGCGTCAGGAGGCAAAGCTTTTACACACCAAGTAAGGTGAGGGCGCCCCAGGGGAACAGCAATGCTGGCCGAGGTATCCAGAGCTCAGACACGGAGTGACTTCCCGTGACCTCACAGCCAGCCCCAGGTGCCATCTCGCCAGCTTGCCCTCTGTCCCAGCATGCCCCGGGCGTTGGAAAGCACGAGAGCCACGCAAAATAGGCTGTGCTCTCCCCCCGACAGCTTAGTAACCTCGGCACAGGGAGCCAAGGGAGAGAGCAACTTCTGCCCCTTCGGGGTTCAGCGCGCTGGGCAGACACGGGCTGATGTTAAGACGGGTTCTCGCTTGGGCTGAGAGGGACCTGAGGGGCAGCATGTGGTCCGCGTCACAGACCGCATAGGGAAGGCGCCCTGGGCTGTGTCAGAGCCTGTTTACCTCTGCTGATGCGCTGTTTCTCTCCAGACAGGATCCCAGGAGTGTCGATGATGCTTATGCTGTCCAGGACCGGGTTGGGCAGCTGGGCACACATGAACCTGCACGGGAGCAAAAGCCGGAGGGGAGACGTCAAGACTCAGCTCTCGAGGCTCAAGAAGTGACAGGGGGCTTTCTGTGTACTCTCCTTTCCACCTCTGCCTTCCTTTCCCGAAGCAAGGCATTTACAGGAGGTTTTCTAGTGTTTCCAGGGGTGGCCCCTGAACTCTGTATTGTCTTTTTTTTTTTTTTAATGTTATTTTATTTATTAGAGAGAGAGAGCACGAACGGGGGGAGGATCAGAGGGAGAGGGAGAAGCAGACTCCCTGCTGAGCTGGGAGCCCGATGCAGGGCCTGATCCCAGGACCCTGGGATCATGACCTGAGCCAAAGGCAGACGCTTAACTGACTGAGACACCCAGGCGCCCCTGAACTCCGTACTGTCTTAACTGGGAATCCAACCAGCGGCTCAAACTGGCTTGCATCAGCATTTCCCTCACATTAGCTTTTCCCCCAGAGTTCAAGAGTTCAACTTTCAAGTTGCTGATGTGCTAGTGAAAACTGCACGAGCCTAGGACACCGTTCAACTCCAGAAGGGAAACAGAAAGGTGACACTGGGACTTTAGCTAGCTAAATTTCCACACACTGAAGGTGGGGAGAGGCTTTCCTGCTGCTGCTGGGACAAGCCCACCCCTCCCACCCAGCTGCTTGGATGAAGGGACAGCAGGGGGCAGCCAGTACAAGCTGGGGGACACGTGGGCTGGTTGGCGGCGCCGGGAGTACAGACACCATTCTCCGAAAGCCGGAGCAGGCCGAGGAAGAACAAATGAAGCCACAGAGGCGCTGGCAACTCCTGAGTGAGGGCTTAGCCATGTGTGCCTGAGTTCCCACTGAGCGGAAAACAGCCCAGAACAGCAAGGGGCTGTCCCAACCGATAGCAGAAATTCTTTACTGGACACAGAAAAGGCTCCTTTAAAAAAACTTCCCTGAAAAAGACACTGTGAGCAAAGAAAATACTGCCCCTTTGTCTGTAGGATGCAGGCTTAAAGCCGCCTTTCCAATCGTGGGGAGGAATCTGAGCTGGTAAGGTTCTGCTTTTGGCCCTACCCACCCCCCAACTCCCCCGCAAGTGACCAGTGGCCAGGCCCGCGGCACCCGGCCAGGGTGAGGGGTGTTGCCTGCAAGCACAACGGAGCAAAACCGACTGACCCGCAGACCTCGGACCCGGTCCTCACTGTTGCCAGCGGCAGCACACGCACGCCCTGATCGTGGCGCACCAGACCTGGGGCTCCTGCTAGGGAAGGGTCACAGAGGGAAGACCGAATCAAAAGAACCTGAAGTAGAACTGGCTCTGAAAAATAACAATACATAAAACCGCCCTGTAAAGGAGACCTGCGAGTAAGGTAACATCGGTAAGACCCAGAAATGCGATGCCCCGCAGAGTCCTGGGAGCTTGGCGGGGCAGACAAGAAAGGGGGCAAGCAGTACAGATGCAGCCGCCTCATTTCCACCACCAAGGACACACTGACTGCCTCTCGCCCCGCAAGCGGCTGGTGGCAGCCACACAGTGAGTCTTCCCAGGATGCTCTTAGGACAACGTGACTGTAGTCTGTCTCGGTCGGCTCCACTGGATTTTAGTCTTAGGGCAGCCACTTAGAGTAAAAAGGGCAGAAAGTCAAGTTCATGGCTCAATGGGTCTCTTTAAGCTGCCCGGAGAGGCTGTGTCAGCCAGAGAAGAGCCCCCTTTGTACGGCTAGAGCCGGCGGCACTCCATGCACTCCACAGGCTGACACAGCTCGGGGCCCTGCCCCAGGGCAAAGCCTGTGCCCTCCCTGCCCCTCGGCTGATAAGACCCCTTTTGGCAGGGCTGTTAGCGATCTCGAGAACGCTCTGGAGATGAAGTGGCAAGAGGGAAATAAGGGCCGCCTGGCCGGCTCGGTCAGTAGGGCGTGCGACTCTTGATCTCAGGGTCATGGTTCAAGTCCCATGTTGGGCGTGGAGCCTACTTTTAAAAAATAAATAAATAATAAATAAAAGTGTGGGTCTTGAATCCTGTGGCACCAACATCATCAGAGTGTCTGTCTTGGACCCAGCATCCCTGACCTGCGCTTTTTTTCCGGGCAGAACCAACAGCAGGTGGTAACCGGAGGCATCAAGGCCGGTCAGCCAGTGAGCGCTCCATTAAGCTGCCCTGGTGAGCTCAACAAATCAGCAGAGCCCTCCAAGCTGGGGCTTCCTGAACCACCTACATGACGTCTACGATCCCCTCCAACTCTGAAACTTTAGGTCTCCAAATTCAGAAACAGGTTGAGTGCCCCGTTTCTCCTTTCAAAAGCAGTCTGCTCTCACAATAAGAAGCGGAGGCCCAAGGACAAGAAGGTGTACTTATCCCTCCTTCTAGCTTCCCAAAGTTCTGTGTGAAAGGCAAGACCTAATAATGCTCGGAATTCCCAGCACAGCAGCCAAACTGCGCACAAGATCCTCTGGTGCCCACCAGCTAAGAGTCTGGGCCAATCGCCCATGCACGGGCACGTTAATTCCGAGACACAGGTATTCTCTGGAGGAGGGCTCAAGGCGAAGAGGGTCATGCCTCTCACACGAAGGGCTTTATTCAGCTCCTGCCGTGACACACCAATGCCATCAACCATAAAACAGGAGGCCGGGCTTAAATGCCCAAAAGGGGCAAAAAAACATTAACAGGAGTCTGCCTGTACTCTCTGTTAAAAGTCAGCTCTGTGCACAGAGGTAGGCTGGCCACTGGCCTGGATCAGAAGCAAGCTGGTTCACCCCGTGTGGCTGGACAGTGTCGGGAAAGGAATGTGATCATACAGGGCGGAGACTTGGAAGGCAAGAGTCAAGGATTCTTTCCTAGGTCGTCCCTGACACAGACTTTGAAAGGCATGTGGAGTCACTCCTTGAATGGGGGCTGGTAGGAAAGGCAGATCTGTGAAGTCCTTTGGTCTTCACATGTCCCTGGGGGCAGGGGTGGGGACAGGGATTTTAGAACCACTGACAAGCGCCTTCGAGCTCCTTTAGAGTAGCGTGAACTTGACTCCATAGAAAGACCAATGTCTTCCATTCCCAGCATCATGAGGGTCCCAGTCTTGGAGGGTGACCCGGATCATGAGGAGGCCGATTTCACCCATCTAACTGGGGAAACTAAGGCCTAAGAAAGTTAAGGAACCTCTTAGTGAGGGAGTCAGGGCCCAGACCTCATTCCAGGCCTCCCAGTGCTACAGACTGAGGCTGCTTCCTGAAACCCCTAAAGGAGCACAGACCCTTTCGAGCTGCCCCCCCCCCCAGGAGAAGTGTTCACACTCCATCTGCCTGCTACCTCGCGGACTGCCCCCAAACTCAGCAGGCCACAGCAGATCCTCCTCGTCCCTCCCACACAAAACCAGCGGTCCCGGGGGCAGCACAGCAGCAAAGGGAATGACGGAAAGTTTCACATATTTTTCCACGACACTTAGGCAGCAGCCACTTGAAGGAAGGGAGGGGGAAAGGGGTTGGTTTGAATGAATTCGGTGCATCCAGTCTGGGACTACACTGGGAGGAGGTGGAGACAGGAATCTCTCACCTTCCCAACGCTGACCCCGGTTCTGAGGGAAGTGGGGCTGGGATCTGCTGGAAGGTTTGGGAGTTAAACTGATAACCCGGAAAATTCTGGGGGTGACAGGGGCGGGGGAGGGGGCGGCGATACCCTCCCCCCAGACCTCCGGGTGGGCCGAAGCGGCAGGGGCCCTTGTCCCAGGGAGCGGTCGCCGAGGGGCTCGCTAGGGCCTCGGAGACAAAGGACGATGAGGGGAGGCGGGGCCGGGCCGCGGCCGCGGTACGCTCGGGACCCGAGTGCGGCCCCGGGGGTCCCCCTCCGCCCCCCTCCCCCGGGCAAGGGGCGGGTACCTGTTGAGGAAGGCGTTGCCGAAGGCGTTGAGCTTGCGGAAGGGGCGCCGCGGGTCGACGACGAGCGCGTTGCCCGGCACCACGCCCTCGGTGGGGCCGTGCATGACCGCGATGAAAGAGTCGGTGGTGGGCTCGGGCCCGATGCGCATGCCCGGGAAGTCCTGCTCGATCAGGTGCCGGATGAAGGTGGTCTTGCCCGTGCTGTACTGGCCCACAAGGAGCACCATGGGCTTGTTGTCGAAGTCAGCGTCCTCCAGCGCGGGCGAGTGGAACTCGTGGAAGCGGTAGTGCTCCTCCAGGGGCAGCAGCTTCTGCGCGTACAGCTGCCGCAGCCCCTCGGCCACCGTCTGGAAGAGCTCCGGCTCCTTCTTGCGGCGGGCATCTTTGCTGACCCAGCTGAACATGCTGCCGGGGACGGGGCTGGCTGCTGCGGGGCAGAGCGGCGGCTGAGAGCGGGGCGAGGGCGCGGAGCCGAGGCGGGGCCCGGCCGGCCGGCGGAGGGGCGGCGGGGAGCGGCCCGCAATACGCAGGCGCACGGCACGGCCCGCGGAGCGCCCTCCGCGGAGTGGAGCGCGCGCCTCCTCGTGCGGCCTTTATAGGGCCGGGCCCCGCGTTCGGGCGCGCGCGCGCGCGCCGCCGCCGCCGCCGCCGCCGCTAACCGCGCCGGGCCGCCGGGAGAAGGGCAGGGGAGGAAGGAGCCCCACCCGCGAACTCCGCGCCACGTCCTCCCCTCCCCTGCCTCCCATTGGCCGATTCCAAGTATCGCGAGCGCCGCTCGCCGTACTCCCCGCCCCCAGCCCGGGTGCCGAGGCAACCGCACCTGTTTTCTGCCCGCCCTTGGTGGGGCCGCTCGCGCAAGTGTTGCGGTTGGGGAGGCGGAAAGCGAGGGTCGGGCGCGAAGAGGTCCCGGAGCCTACGTGCCTTGCAACATCCGCGAGACGCCGAGTTAGACACCCGGCGCCCCGGCCGCGCGCCCCACCCGCAGTTCCCCCACGAACGGTGCTCCCTCCCCCGCTGGCTCGGAATTCCCCGGAAGTATCGGCGGACCCCCGGGGCGGGGTGCGGGGTGGGGGCTCGCGCCTCGCGTCCGAGCTACCCTTCCTTGCCGCCTCCTCGCCCCTGCTTTCCTGACACTACTTCCTACCCCTCTTCTTCATCTGCTTTGGGAGAGGGAGAGAGAGAGTGGAGGAGGCTGAGGGAGTGGAACATCCGAGGTCGGCTGGTAACTGGGGAAAGAAGAATGGGGAGCGAGGGAGAGGTCCCTGGGGAAAATCTGACCGGCAGCAAGAGGCCTGAGCTCCCCGCAGGCCGGTGGGGCTGGGGATGGGAAGGGGGACACAAAGGACATAGGACATGTGGGGAGAAGAGATGGCCTCTCTGAGGAGGCTGCATCCGTGGGTGGGAGAGGGTAGGGGTACACAGGAAGGCCTGGACGCTTGAGTTTTGAGGAAGTGAAATCGGAAATTCCCTATGTCCGGGGGAGGGGAAATGTGGGGCAACAATGAAATCTTGTGGGAATTTAGGGGAAATTAAAATACCCAAATACTTCTGCTTTCTTCTCAGGGTCACCACAAGTCACCCTCTTTTACTCTGACCTGTGGGCCCCCCCTTACCAGTTCCTGGCTGTTCCATTACACTCATTCCCCCGCCATCATTCCTGGCCACACATCGGCCCCCTTGGCTGTCCAGGTTGGTGAGAATCTTCAGTGGGTGATGTCAGAGCTTTGGGGGACTGTGATTGTTAGGTAACCAGTGTCAGGACACCAAAGTGCAGGAGGAGGGGGTGGGGGTGTGGGGGGTGCAGTGCTGGGGTTGGGGGGAGACTCCTAGGTAGATCTAAAATGCACCATGTCCAACTTTCTGGCTTCTGGGAGATGTGGGGTGGAGGCAGGAACTCAAACCTGAGAATGAGCCGAGTTCTTAGGGGAGCTCGGTCAAGTGGGAGCCAGAGAGGGCAAAAGGGGAGGTTTTGCTTGCCCGCCCCTTGTAGGATCAGGCCTCAGTGCCTTCTGAAGAAAGACAATGTTCAATCCATCGCCTTCCCCTCCCCCCTTTGCCTCCCTGACCATTGGAGAGCCCTGTCTGCACTCTTAAGCCTCTGGCTTACTGCTTTTATTTGGGATTTCGTTAGCATTCTTTTCATCAATACCAGTAAACCAGAAGCCGAAAGACTCTTTTCTTGGTGGACTCCTCAAAAGGCCAGAACTCCTGGGCAGGGCTGTCGCCAGAGGCTGCATGCTGGCTGGTGATCAGAAGCCTTGGGTGGGCCCAGTCCAGACTTCCTGGGCCAGCCTTAGAAGCCAAAGGACTTGCCTCCTCCATGGCGCTTTGAGGGGTCCACCCCGGAGATGTAGTTTTTGGGCTGTTCCAGGGAAGGGCTTGCGGCTGAGGCTCCTGAAAGAGGTGGTTGTTCAACGGCCTGAACGAGGCTTCAGGAAGCCCCCTCTCGGCAGAGTTCGCATTGACCCGTCGTGGTCTTCACATCTCCCCAGAGTCCTCTGTGCTGGGAATAGCTAGCCCGATAAAACTGAGAACAACAACATGTTCCTGGGTTATTTATACATGAAACTCCAGCCCCTGTTTGTTTTATATGGCGGCTTGACTTTCTCCAAGGAGCGCAAAGAACTGAAAGAAGGCATCTCTCCCCCTCAGTGAGGCTCAAGAGGACAGAAATTAGTTTCCCCCATTTCATGGAGTTGGCACTCGGGTCTTGGGCAGCTTCCTGAGCTAGTAATTCCCAGACTGTGAAAATGTCCTAATTCTCTTTTTGTTGTTGGAGCCGGCTGAGATTCTGATTCTGTTCGGTGGGAGTTTTGTAAATCATGAGTGAAGCATTTCACTTTTGGTTTCTCTATTTCACTTTCTGTCTGTCTTTGCCCAGGGCCGTGACAAAAGACTAAGGAAGCGTTCAAATATTTTCCTTTCTCGTGGAAATGAGGCCCGTCCCCCACTCCCAGGGTTTCCTTCTTTCAAATTCAGAAACACACACCTGCCCAACCGGCCCTTGTTCTCTAGGTCTGCACGGAGACTGCTCTCAGCAGAAAAGACCTACCTGCTTTCCCTCGAGGTGATCTGCTCAGTCCCATAATGGCCGGGTCTACAAAAGGGTCGATGTACAAGGCCCCTAAAAACAAAAAAAGGGAGAGGGAAAAGAAAAACAGACTTTTGTCCAAATATGGTAGAAGAGTCAGGCCAGAAAAAAACAAAAACACATGGGTTTGTGCCTGGGATGAGGAGTGGTTCATTCTTCCTACCGAGAAAGTCTGTAGACCCAGCTTTTCTTGCAGTCAGAAGGAGTAGATTTGGCCAACAGACGAGTTTTGTCAAACCAAGGTAAAGAAAGGGGGAGGTCTGTTCCTCTGCAGTCTGGGGTCTCCAGCGCCGGCTGCAAGGGCATCCTCTGCACCCTGTGAAGCCTCTCTCCCGAAGGGGTACGGCAGTGCATGTGGCCATGGGGCTAGGGTCCTGGTGACAGTTGCTGCGTTCTAGGGGCCTCTGAAGGTGTCCCGCGGCAGGGGTAGGCCCAGCTTGGAGGTGACAGGGTGTCAGGGCTGCTCGGGATCTCTGCCTTCAAATCTCAAATGAGAAGAGCCCAAGGCCCAGGGATGGTGAGTGCCTTGCCTGGAGTCACTCAGGCTGAAGAAGAAGCTGGGCCTTTGGAATCTTAACGCCCTCTCCACGCTCAAATCTTGAATTTGCAAGGTCAAGGTCAAGGTCAAGCCGGCGGCCACGCAGAGGGAGAGGGTTTCCAGAACCTCCTTTCCAGATGCAGGCTGGGGTGAACTCTGTCCGTAAGCTCTGCAGCCTGGGGGCCCATGCTGCATATCGACAGGGTGCTGTGTATACAGAACCCAGTAGTGCTTTGCAGAGCTGAGCCACAGAAGCCTCTGAGCACCTGTGGTAGACACTCCACCCACTGCTGGGCTTCCCAGCATCCCGTCTTACAGGGGCCTCCGGGGCAGGGGCTGCAGCTGAGCACAGGATGCAGTGTTGACACTAAACTCCCCGGGACAGCTCAGGCACCACCTACGGGCTGCCCTCCAGGTCTTTGCTGTGGACACATCCTGTTGGGGGACTCCATGGGAGGTTGTTTTATTATTTGGCACATGAGAATTCTGCTTTCTACAGTGATAGTATCAGGCGTCCTTTGGCAGGGTCTTGGGGTCTCCTTACTCTGTGCTGATAGAAATGGAGGGTACAGGAGAAGAAATGGCAGGACAATGCTGAGGTCAGCAGGGGCCACTGAGGATTCGAGGAGGCCGTGGGGCGGTTAAGAGGCTGCCAGGGCTCGTGGCGACGTCAGAGACAAGACGAGATTTGGGAGGTTTGATCTGAGCAGTCTGAGGGGGCACCTGAGGGGCTCAGATGTTGCTGCCTGAGCGACCACAGGTGTAGCTCCACCTGTGTGAGTGCAGGCCACTGCCCTCCTTGCGTCCCCTTCACGCACGCTTTTCTGCTTCAGCTCACTCTCCCTCACCATAGCCTCGAGCCCCTGTTGCCCCATGGCGGGAGTGGAGGGGGGGCTACCCTGAGCCTCTGCATGGGCCTCACAGGCTGGGGGCTGGGGAGCAATTCTGTGCCCAACAGGGTGTCACACGTGTCTACCAGGGCACAGGCCCAGCTCCCTTGGCCTCTGGCCCAGCCCCTCACACCCACACCTCCATGGGGGTCAGACATTGTGCCCAAGGCCACCCTCCAGGCATGTCTGCTGACCTACATCGCCCTCTTCCTTCCCCCACATCAGTCTCCATGAAAGTCCCACTGAGCTGGGTGGTCCATGCAGCTGCCCCAGGTGACCTGGCTCTGCCAGGAGTCAGTCTCTCACTTCCCTTTTGGCCCAGCTGGAACATTTCTCTGACCTGCGTCTTCTTCATCCTGCCCTAAGTACAGGCAATGAAAATGGGTCATCTGAAAAGAGACTGGGAGCTGGGGAGCTGAGAGGACCCAGTCCTGCCCAAGCTCCACGCTTGGTCTCAGAAATAACGTGTTGGGACTTGTCCAAGGGCAGGGATGCAGCAAGACCCTTCCCAGCGCTGGCGTCGAGCCTCCGTTCCCTGCTCAGCTAGCCTGGCCTCTGGCCCCTTGGTTCCAAGACCTCGCCCTGAAACACCCCATCACCCTTTGCTAATCATGGTAGGCAGAATTCCAAGCTGTACCCAAGGTTTCCCACTCTGGTGTACACAGCTGGTATAGGACCTGGGATTGTGACTGATGGGTTTACTCTGTGATAGGTCATGTTCAGTGGCACAGTTGACTTTATTTTGTTTATTTATTTACTTAAAAGATTTTATTTATTTGAGAGAGCATGCGTGTGTGCACGAGGAGGGGGGAGGGGCAAAGGGAGAGGGAGAAGTAGGCTGCCCGCTGAGCCGGGAGCCCAACGCCAGCTCGATCCCAGGACCCTGAGATCACGAGCCGGGCGGAAGGCAGACGCTCAACCGGCTGAGCCACCCAGGCGCCCCCACAGTTGACTTTAGATACGAGATTCTCCCAGTGGTCTGACCTAATCACAGGAGCTCTTGAAAAGCAGAGTTTTCTCCAGCTGGTTGCAGAGGAAGGAAGTCAGAAATTCAAAGCTCAAGAAGGATTCAATGTACCAGTGTTGGCTTGAAGATGGAAGGTGGCCACGTGGAAGGAATGTAGTGGCCTCTAGGAGCCGAGAGCTGACAACCAGCAAGGAAGCCCAATCCCTGCCAGAGGACAACGAGAACAGGCATGGAGGGAGACTCCCTCTACCCCTGAGCCTCCAGCTGAGAGCTGGGCTAACACCGGATCTCAGCGTCCGAGACTCTGGACTTCTGACCCACAGAATCATGAGCTCATAAATGGTGGTTTTAAGCCACTAAGTTTGTGGTGGGAAGACTGCTGCAGCAGTGGATGTGTCTTTTGGTCAACTGATGATTTATTCGATTGGCAACACTTGGCAGCCATTCAACAGGCGACGAGAAAAAAAGAAAGGAAATTAAGAGTGATCGTGGAGTCAATAACTGAGAAAGCAGATTGCAAGACTGAACCCAGTGCAGCCTGGCTCAGTACACACACACACGCACACGGTTCCTAACCAGAGGTGATTTTGCTCCCCAGGAAACATCTGGCAATGTCGAGACATTCTTGGTGGTCACAACTTGGGGAGCATTGCTGGCATCCGGCGGGCTGGAGTCAGGGATGCCGCTTACCATCCTACAATGCATAGGACAGCCCCCAACAGAATTATCCAGCCCCGAATGTCGACAGAAGGTTGAGACGATCCCACTTGCACCCAGCCACTGTTGTAGCATAAGGATAGTGCAAGATCAGGTTCCAGTCCCACCAACTGTGTGATCTACGGTAAGGCTTGAGCTGAGGTCTCTGGGACCAGCTGTAAGGAAAGCACCTACTTCTAGGAGTAAATGAGTTAATGTACAACGTGTGTAGAACAACAATTTCAGCTAACTTGAGTGATTACAGGAAATGTCTACAGGGCTATGCTTGCATCATAGGAGCTGGGGCAATTTTTGTTGACTTTTCTATATTGCTCAAATTTGATATAATGGACATCTTTGACTTCCTTAACTGGGTGGAGGGGGGGAAGCTGAGGGACAAAACAACTGGCCTGTACTCTCCAAAAATGTTGAGATCTTGACAAACAGAGCAAAACTGAGGACAGTTCCAGACTAAAAAAGGCTGAAGGGACCTGGCGACCACATGTGAGGTCTGATCTCCATTTATTGGGACAGGTGGTGACATTTGAAAGGAGATAGCAGGGGCACCTGGGTAGCCCAGTGGGTTAAGCGTCCCGACTCTTGATTTCTTCAGCTCAGGTCATGATCTCAGGGTCGTGGGATGGAGCCCCAGGTTGGGCTCTACACTCGGCACAGAGTCGGCTTTGGATTTTCTCTCTCCTTCTCTCTCTGCCCCTCCCCCTGCTTGTGCTCTCTCTCAAAAAGATAAAATCTTAAAAAAACAACAAAAAGAAAGTGGGTGGCATGTTCGATCGCATCACAGTATTGCTTCACTGTCGCCAGGCCTAAATTTGGTAACTGTATCGTGGTTGTGTAAGAGATTTCATTTTTGGGGGGGGGATACATGTTGAAATATTTAAGGGTGAAGGGTCATAACCTGTATAACCTCTCAAATGGTTCAGAGGAAATTTGGGAGGTGTGAGAGAGAAAGAGAAAGAGAAAGCAAATGTTGCAAAATGTTACTACTATTGGTGAATCCCGGTGAAGGGTAGATGGGTGTTCATTGTACTTTTCTTGCAACTTTTTTGTTTTGTCAAAAACAAAAACAGGCCTGTGACTGGGTGCTCCTCCTTCAGGCCCTCCGGGGCCTGGGCCAGTGTTACATTTGCTGCCCCATGCCCGACCCAGCAGTGCCAAAATCCATTTATAGTAAAATGGAGAAACCAACTGTTTTCTATTCATACAGTGGAATGCCGCACAGCCGTGAATGAACGGGAGCAAGCCATGGCCCCAGCGACCTCCTGGGGACAGCCGGACCCAGCGGCAGGGTTCCATTTGGATAATAAACACATACCACCACCAACAAAGACAGGCAGAATGAACATATATTGTTTTAGGCTGCATACACCGGGGGTGGGGGGTGGGGTGGTGAACCGCAGGGAAGGGCCATGAAGTGATGATCATAAAGGGCAGCATTGTGTTTACCTGGGGAGGGGGTCACCTGGAAGGACACTTGGGGGGGGGGCTCTGAAGCACAGAGATTTTCTTTTCTTTTTTTAAAGATTTATTTATTTAGGGGCGCCCGGGTGGCTCAGTCGTTAAGCGTCTGCCTTCGGCTCGAGTCATGATCCTAGGGTCCTGGGATTGAGCCCCGCATCGGGCTCCCTGCTCCTCGGGAAGCCTGCTTCTCCCTCTCACACTCCCCCCGCTTGTGTTCCCTCTCTCGCTGTCTCTCTCTGTCAAATAAAATCTTGAAAAATTTATTTGAGAGAGAGCGCGCGCAAGCGTGGAGGGGGGAGGGGCAGAGAGAATTTTAAGCAGACTCCCTGGTGAGAGAGGACCCCCCCCCCCCGCCCCGCCATGCCTTGATCCCCGGACCCTGAAATCCTGACCTGAGCCAAAATCAAGAGTCTGAAGCTTAACCGACTGCACCACCCAGGCGCCCCCAGGGATTTTCTTTTTTGAGTGGTAGTTACACAGGGACTTACTTTATATTTACACAAATATACACTATACATTTATGTTTTATACACAAATAGCAGCTGTAAAAGTCCCAGTAAGGAACCCCCCACTTTGTGCCAGGTGCGCCCTGAGTGCCTGGGACCCGCCACTGTGTTAAGGACGCTGACTGACCCTTGTGAGGGCCTGGAGGGGGCCTGGAGGGGGCCTGGAGGGGAGCCTGGCTGGGGAGGAGGACCGGGAGGACCCGCCCCACCCAGCTCGGGAGGGACGCGACCCAGTGCACCCCCTGGTGGTGGCTTCAGGGAGTGAGGCTTGTAGAAGAGCGAGTTCCCCACCGCCCCCAACCCCATGCCTCCTTCTTTCAGCACCTTTCCCCCTGTTATTCCCTCCTCTTCCAGTGCTCACCACCTGTTCCTGGGACTCACCTCAGCAAAAGCTGGACTCGGACTCACCTCTCAGGGAGACTTCCCCAATCAAAGCCGCTGTACTCTGACCTTTCCTTCCCCCATCGGCCTTTCTTTGCGGGTCCAAACGGTGAATTTGCATATCCTCTCCGGACACCTGGTCGGCATCCTGTCGTTTCACACATGTGTGGTGAGGGTGAGGGCCGGCACTCACTGAGGGCCTCCCACCTGCCAGTGCTGGCTGACCGCCCGGCTTCGGATGCCTGCCTCCCCCCAGGCACCTCCATCCACGCATCAGGCAGTCCTGCAGCTTTGCAGTTATGAAGATGCTACTCTGTGCCAGTCTGAGGCTACAGGAAACCAAAAGTCAGTAGCTGGTGCCGCCCGGGGTTCACAAGCTGGGCGGGAAATAGCTAGGCATTGGTGGCGGCTGTCATGGGGGACTCTAAGAGCTCACAGAACAGCCTGGGAACCAGCGACTGGGACGGCGAGCAGCAGGCATCCTGGAGGGCTCAGGAGGAAGTGGGAGCCGCATCCCGGCGAGGCAAGATGGGCACAGGCCCAGGGCCTGTCGGGAAACGGCCACAGGTCAGGGGGGAGAGAGGAGCCAGTCCGAGGCAGCTGGATCTGCCTTGCTCAGGAGTTGGGACGTGACCTGCTGGAGCTGCAGATGCTCCGTGGAGGCTGAAGGAGGTGGACACCCAAGGCAGGGGCGGCTGCCTGCCACCACCTTCCACCCTAAGCCAGTACTCTGGGCCTGTGGCCTGACAGCCCCGAGAGGTCAGAGTTCAGCTCCTTGCCATTCGGCCAGTGTATCTTGAACACCTACTATGCTGGGGCGGGGCAGGCAGGAGGACTGAATCATGGACTTTGCCCTCAAGGAGTCTCAGACCAGCACCAGGATATCAGATAAGGGCACAGAGGGGCGCCTGGGTGGCTCAGTCATTAAGCGTCTGCCTTCAGCTCAGGTCATGATCCCGGGGTCCTGGGATCGAGTCCCACGTTGGGCTCCCTGCTCAGCGGGAAGCCTGCTTCTCCCTCTGCCCCTCCCCCCACTCATTCTCTCAATCTCTCTCTCTCAAATAAATAAAATCTTTAAAAAAAAAGAAAAAAAGATGGGCACCTGGGTGGCTCAGTCGGTTAAGCGTCTGCCTTCAGCTCAGGTCATGATCCTGGAGTCCTGGGATCGAGTCCCGCATCGGGCTCCCTGCTCAGCGGGTAGCCTGCTTCTCCCTCTGACCCTCTCCCCTCTCATGCTGTTTCTCTCTCTCTCTCTCAAATAAATAAATAGAATCTTAAAAAAAAAAAACGCAGAGCTCTCAACCCCACAGGAATAAGATGAGGGGGTGGTGGGAGAGGCCTCCAGAGCCCAAGGTGCGGTGGGGGTGGGCAGCTCCTGCAGTCATGGGAGGGCCCTCTGAGCAGGGCCTCAGTAGAGATGGGGGCCCAGGGAGCCGGAGCAGATAGGGCAGTGTGAGCAAAGCCACACTGGGAAAAGTGAAAGTGTCATAAGGGCCGGAGAGGGTGGCTGGATGCTTGTCAGCCGCATAGTCCATGGAGAGAGAAGGTTTGACTACTCTGTGACTTTATTATTATTATTATTATTTTAACGATTCTCTTTATTTATTTGACAGAGAGAGACACAGCGAGAGCAGGAACACAAGCAGGGGGAGTGGGAGAGGGAGAAGCAGGCTTCCCGCCGAGCAGGGAGCCCAACGTGGGACTCGATCCCAGGACCCCGGGATCATGACCTGAGCCGAAGGCAGATGCTTAACCAACTGAGCTACCCAGGAGCCCCTACTCCGTGACTGTAGCAAGATGTGCACCCTCTATGAGTCCGTGTCTTCATCTCCGGAATAGGCTCATGACGGTGGCTTTGCAAGGTCATCGAGCTGACCCCAGGGGACTGACGTGAGCAAGTGCTCAGCACACAGAGAGGGCACAAGAACCGGCTCCTATTATTATGCAATTTGAACTTTATTCTTAGGTCTATGTTTCCAGTTTTGGAAAGTTTATCTTTTAAAATATATATTTTTAAAGATTTTATTTATTCATGAGAGATGGAGAGAGAGAGAGAGAGAAGCAAAGGGAGAAGCAGCAGGGAGCCCGATGCGGGACTTGATCCCAGGACCCCGGGATCATGACCTGAGCCGAAGGCAGATGCTTAACCATCTGAGCCACCCAGGCGCCCTGGAAAGTTTATCTTTTAGCAGCAGAAGCCTTTTTATTCAAATGAGAATGTCTCCAGAACTGCATCGTATGGAAGCCGGGCAGGAGTGAGGCTGTGTGGGAAGCTGGTGCGGGGCCTGGGTCTGCGGTCCTGCCCGCTAGGGTGCCCAGCTGGTGGCGGGGCCGGGGGAGCCTGGGGGTGGG